TTAATGTAGTACAACGGGCTCGTGAATCAGGTGACTTAAGACCTCACAGGGGACGGCATGCCGGTGCTCCAAGGCCTCGCGATCGAATACAGGTCCGCACTGAAATACTTGTCGGGGGGATACTTGATAAAACAAGGTAAATTTTTTTTTTAATTTTTTTTTACTTTTACACACATATTTTGGTTTATCTTCCTTCTACAATCATTATCTGAAAATTAATGACTCAACTTCAAAGTCACCCTGTATAACCCAATAAGATAAAAAGATCTGCACTTGTCCAGTTTAAACTGCTTATTGCAATTTCAGAAAGCTCTACAATTTCCGGCAGCTGTCCCGAATACTAGATTGTATTGAACCCACGCACTTTTATACGTTTCCGCAGAAAATCCCAAACAGATTATATTACTGTTCGATACGACCGCTTCTTTGTCCCTAGGCTTTTCCGAGTTGTAGTAATCCTAGGCAAATCAAAAATCGGTTTAACGAACCAGCGGTCACGGTGCTATGGTATTTAGGCTTCTGCCCACGCATCTGTTTCGGTATAGAATAGAATAGATTAGAAATTTATTGGTTTCTCTTTGATAAAAAAAACAAAGAAATTTATGACAGAGATAACACGTCATTGTGATACAGTGTAAATAACATACAACTTTTTTAAAATATATATACATACAATTTTTTTAAAGTATATATAAATACAAACATGCATAGACAACATATAACACAACGATATTGATCCTTACAGTTCCACTAGAGTTTAAAACTCTTCGCATATATACGTTACTTATGAATGCTTTTTTGAATATAGGGATTGCTGAAATGGATTGAAGATGTTTAGGTAAAGCATGGTAAAGTTTCAGTACAGAGTAATGTGCACGGTAGAATTTAGCTTATGTGATGGGCAGATGTATTTCCGACTTTTGCGAGTATTTTAACTGTGGTTGAAGACGTTTTATCCAAACTTTTCTTTATGATTAAAGATAAATAGTAGAGTGTTATAGATATAAATTCCCGGCAATGTTAATAAGCTGTTGCCTTTAAATATACTTCTACATGAATCTATAGGTTTTATTTTGAATATGGTTCTTATTATGATATGTTGTATGGGACTATTACCCCAACTTGTTATTTGATAAATCATAATGTAATACGCAAGCCTATAGTAGGCAGCCTGCACAACTTGCAAGAGCAGATGACAAAGTGAGTACTCGTAGTGCATAGTATGCTTGATTGAGTTTCTAACCCATACTCTCAATGTGCTTATCAAACTTTAGACAGCTATCGTATGTGAAACCCAGGAGGCTTTTATCGCTTTTGACACATAGAGGCTAATCAATTAAGGGTAACTCTTTGGTCGCATGGCTTGACTGAAATAGGACACATCACATTCTTTGTATGTTGAATACTAACCTATTCATTTGCAGCCAGTTTTGAATATGGTTTATTTGGGTCTCTATCAAGATTCGGATATCAGACGGCCCTTTATATGATATCAGAATAGTTATATCATCTGCATAGATGAAACTTAAATTTTTCGTGTTTCTCGTGGTGGTGGATACATTATTAATATAAACAATAAACAAAGTTGGGCCCAGTATACTGCCTTGAGCAACACCAGTACTATATGTCCGAGGACTAAATGTTATTCGTTTCCCTGTTTTATTTATAATTACTTCTATTAAAGAGATAAGACTTAAGCCAGTAGTACGCATTCCCGCGTACAACATATTTACATAATCTATTTAGCAATTTTTCATGATCAATGCAATCAAATACTTTTGATGGGTCCGTAAATAAACCACATGCTGGTCCTTGTTTGATATAAAGAAGGGAATATCATTTTTCATATAAACATTAATTTGGAACCTTCGAATAATGTCGATCCTTGGAACAGCTTCATAGATCCATACAGGTTTTAAGATCTAAAATTGTTGGAACAAGCCGGTTCATTTCATTTCAGCTGCTCAAAAACGAGTGCCAATGCGACATTTTTACAAAATTACGGTCAAACAGGCAAACTTTCAGAAGCATCAAAGTCATTCTATTATCACATCTGTGGGAAAAGTACCCTCGTACATGACGTTCATTTTGAATCTGCAATGAAGCCCATAATGACCCAATACGCGATAGACCGCGCTATTGATGAGGATTCAAATGCAAATGGCAGACTAAGATGTTGTAAGGCACAGGTATGTAAATGAGAATTGCTGAATTTAGTAGCGCGAGTAGTGAAACTATGGTATTTAGACCGCTGCTGTCTGCCGGTAGGTGAAGCTGCCAAGGAAATTCTATTCGATAATTTGTTCCTGCATCGCGCTGCTTAGTTCTGTGGCTTTGTGAATAGATGCACAAGTACCTACAGCTAGTAGCGCACTTAATATTACAGTGTACCAAATTAAATTACCTACCATGATTATTTAGGAAATGAAAAAAGGCCTTTGTCTCACGAACAATTTGTTGAACAGTTTGAGATTGATGAGATTTGGGTGAAAAAAATATAATTCAAATATTTACCTGTCGAGCTGATACTCATCTGCGCCAATTTTACTGCATTTTGGATTGCATGTGTACCTCCTTCCTGTTCAAGGTCCAGATAAGACCCAGACTCGAGTGCTGCTAGCATTTTACACTCGATACTGTTTAGAGGAGAACGTCCGACTGATCAATGACACTTCTCTAACAGACAATCTCGGGACACTTTCTCAACAACAGACGGTCTATCGCTATGCAAGCGGGCATTGTACCTAAGCATAGAGTATTTAACGACGACGTTTCCCTTTCAGGGCTTTTTTAAGTCAGATGTTGTGACGGATACTGATATTTGAACTGCAACTTATCATCAAAACAGTGAAATGTTTGTATAGGGATATAGCTAGAACCAGAGCTCTCCTCCATGAGGCCGCTGCGCGTTGAGCTATTTAGAATTTAGAAAAAATGTCCACAGATTGCAGTAAGGAGCGTGTCCCTACATTGTAAACTCATGCTTTGCAGCTATGGCATAAAACTGTTTACCAACAATGTTTGATAACTGGTTAATATGTCTTCATATGTACTTTTAATATTATCTACTGCATAATATTACCTTACAAAATCAAGTAACCTCCCCTAACACTACAAACATAAAGCAAAGTTTCCATAAACATGCAATGATTATTGGCGCCAGTAGTGGTGTGGCCAGGAAACTGGCATCGGTTTCCACATATGTAGTTCCATTATTTTAAACTGGCGTGGTATTCAAAATGGCATTCAATAGTGCGTGCAAGTAATAATGTTACAGTGCAAATTGTAGCATTAGAAATACAGAGAATTAAAAAAAAATGCAAAGAAAGAAACGAAAACACAGGTGGTCGGTCTGTCCATGGGTATCACGTAGAGGTTCGTTAGGAGCATCTGATAGTTCAATTAAAGAGTTAGCTATTGAAGACCAGGAAGCTTATTAGAATTATTTGAGAATGTCCCATGACGAGTTTGAGTTTTTATTGAAACATGAATCCACTAAAATTCAAAATCAAACACCCGAATGAAAGACGCTATACCAGCTCGTGTAAAATCCTGCGGCAGAGAGGACGGACGTTTTTGGGATGGGTAGTACTCTTCGCCACTGTCTACGAGAGAGGTGGGCAGGGTGCCGTTTGACTCGTGAGATCCTAGCATTATTTTACCAGTTGTCGTTATGGAGCCTTGGACAGTGGAGAACCGAGTTTTCGCCTATGATTGTTTCGTCCGAAATAATAAGTCACTCATCGTCGTAGAGCGTGAGTTTCGTCACCACTTCAACATTCATCGGAATAGAACTGTTTCCTCTCGAAACACCATCCTTCGTTGGGTTGAACCACTTCGCAGGCGTGGTGAACTGATCAACGAAGTCCAAGAGGAGCGCCGCGAACAGTTCGAACTCCTGAAAATGTTGGACGCGTTCGACAGGTCTTTCTTCGCAGTCCGACTCGATCTGCCCGGAAACATGCTGCTGCACTTCGCCTTAGTGGTCATTTCGTAAGGCGAATTTTTCATATGAATCTCCGCTTTCACCCCTACAAATTGGCCATTGTGCAACAGTTACAGCCCGAAGATTATGCACAACGAATGAACTTCGCACGTGAGATGGCAGCACTGATCGATCAAAATGAGAACCTCATTTTGCTTATGAGTGACGAAGCCCACTTTCACCTAAACAGCATGTTTAACCAGCAGAATTGTCGTTATTGGGCTAATGAAAATTCGCAACAGTTACACGAAAGACCGCTGCACAGCCCAAACGTAACGGTTTGGTGCGCTGTATAGCAAACTTGCATCATTGGCCCTTACTTCTTCGAAGACGGTGATGGTCGTGATGTTACCGTGAACTCGGAGCGCTACATCGACATGATCATCAACTTCTTTCTCCCTGCATTACGACGGCGACGTGTTCCAATCCGACGTGTGTGGTTCCAGCAGGTTGGGGCGACCGCCCACACAGCCCGAGCATCCATGGACGTTATTCGCCCTCTCTTCCCTGGTCGCCTTATTTGCAGGTTTGGCGATGGTCATTGGCCTCCTCGGTCCCCAGATTTATCCGTATGCGATTTTTTCTTATAGGAACACCTCAAGGCTAGAGCATACGCGATCAAGCCCCGAACTCTGGACGAATTGATGGGCGAAATTCTCGGGGAAGTCGCCCAAGTTGAGAGAGCGATGTTGGAGAGAGTCTACGCGAACTTCCAAGAACGCCGCCAGCACTGCATCAACGATTTCGGCCACCACATGCCTGATGTGATTTTCCACACTTGACTGTCTCAAATGCTATTTCCTTGTGAACCTGATTCCATCAATAAATTTGTTTTCGAGTAAAAATTAACTATTTTATGATTTTTTTAAAACCGTCCATACTCTCTGCCGCACCCTGTACATATAGAATTTCTAAAAGCGGTATTTCAAAATTTATTAGTGGAGTTCTGGATGCTATTTATGAAGTGATCAAAGAATATATGAAGGTAAATAGGTTAATAACTTTATTTTTTAAACAGTAGCAGTAAGTTCGTACAAGTATCTTAAAATATATTTTCAAAAATTGTGACAAATGTTGATCCAAGCTTCATATAGTATATCTAAAGTGTGCTGCTGTTCTTGGACAGATGACGAAAGCAAGTTGTTACCGTGAGTCTATTCTACAACATATGAACAAGAACAAGAGTTAGATGGTGAAGGATATGGATGTGAAATAAATTGAGAAAGCTGTTTCGGTATGGTTCCAATTGGTAAAGCTGCTTTATGTCCTATTTTTCTCTGTACTAAGTAATTTAATATTGAAGACTGACTTTCTAGGGCATCATTCAGTGGAAGCTGTTTGGAATGAACCTGTAACAGTTCTTTCAAACAATTCGAATTCATCAGATGAGTCTCGTGAATCTGCAACTAATGTACTGTGTCTTGTATAGTATTTACTGCTGCATTGCTACTGTCTACATTGCTAACTGCTTCTCCTTCAAAGGAAGGTTTATTTTTGTTACCTATTAATTTGGATGTCCTCTTTTCGGAATTTATGATTGGTGAACTTGAAGTTCTTGAGAAATGCTGCTATTGTGTATTAGGACTATCCGATGTAGTCCCTTCCTCCTGTGAATGAGATTGATCCTTGAATTTTTCCCTTTTTCGTAATTTTCTTGTTTCTGAAATCAAATATATACCTTTCATACTATTTTATGGGATAGGTACTCTTTATATTATATTTTTAAGAGAATTTCCAATTTATAACACATATCATCGCTTTAAAAACTATGCACCTGTTAAGCTATTACGTTATTTCCACTCGTTATGTATTTTAGTTACCCGCAACGGAAAATGAATGGAAAGAACATGGTTTCGCTACACGATGGAATTTCCCTGAATGCAATTGACGCAAAGCATATCATGATTAAGTGTCCTAAGAAAAGTGGTTCTAGGTTCAATAATTGCAACGGAAGTTTCAGCACGATCTTGCTTGCTTTAGTAGACCATAGTTACTGTTTTATATATTTACACGTTGTGGCCGCTGGAAAAGAATCAGATGACGGAGTGTCTGGTTGGTCTAACTTGAAAACAGCGATTAAAGAAAATACTGTTAGCATGCCAAATAATTTTCACATTGTAGGCGACGACGCTTTTCCCTTAAAGAGTTCACTATTGAAAACCTATTCGCGAAGTGGTGCACTCACTTTTATGCAAACTATTTTTAATTACCATCTTAGCAGAACTCGCCGCATATTAGAAAATGCGTTTGCTATTTCAATATCGAAATTTAGAATATTTGTAAGACCTACTTCATTATCACCCGAAAAAGTAGATAAAATTGTACTAACATGTTGTGCTTTACACAACTGGTTACGCAAGGCACTTCCTACTACCTATGTAGTGTAGTGTAGATATCGGAAATTATGAAACAGGCGAGATAACACCAGGTACCTGGCGAGAACTACAAATAGAGGACTAGGCAGTATAGCAAGTGTTGGGACTCACAACGGTATAAGAGATGCAGCACAGATTAAGGATATATCTGCTCAGTATTTCGTTTGAGCAGGGTAGTTTCCATGGCAAAATGATAGAATTTAAGTTGTAATGTTCCAAGATACGAGTATTATACATGCAAATACCTACCAAAGTATTCTTTGTATCACTCGTTTCCAGAATTCTTTTTAGAAACCGATCTTCGGCATCAAACTAACCTATTGTGGGTTTATGTACAGCTATAGCATCTGTTGATGTTTCACTTTTATAAGAAGCTAAAACCTTGTGATGTTCCAAGGTATACGCATTTCGAATTCTGTGTATTTTAGCTTTTGCAGTATTGATATTGAAATCTTTTATATACTTGTTGTGAGACATAACCTCAACAATTTTCTTTAGCGCTACATCCCGTTTATTCCTGTCTTTATATGACGGTATTTTGTAGTGCCATGGTCACGGATGCTCTTCATAAACTTCTAAAAATGTTATTTTATCATCCGTTGGCCTTTTTCTTGATGTTCTAACTTGTGACATTCTACCGGAGAACACAAAAAGGTTGAAAAACAACGCTGTCAAAACTCAAGCTGGCACCAAAAAGTACAACTACTTTTTACTTTATTGGCGGATTGATTAGTGGCGCCAATTGATTTTAGTTGTTTCCATGTGACTACAAACTTCGCTTAATGCTCGCAAGTATAGAGATATTATCGTCTCCACCTCGTCTGTGCGTGTCGCGTCACCGCGCCGTCTGCTACCTGCTTTTACTCATTTCCCGGATCCAACCATCCGTCTGCTGAGAGTATTGGCCAAATTTTAAGGGATGTCTATGATGTTTGAGATGTTGTTTTTTGGAATTTTATTGTCTATAGAGTTTTTTAACTTTCGATGTTTCGTGACGTCATAAGGTGACCTTGCAAACGCGCTTTTCCCTAGACTATTTATACCGTTTGATGACATAACTTGCGGTTGGTTGTCACGTGTCGCTTCTTTGTGTAAGAATTTAGCATGATCCCAAAGTGTTCTGTGGTGCTTTATCCAAGCGCGATTCGCTAATCCAGATTTATTCGTTTTTCTCCGTTCGATGTTGGATTTACCTATGCTTTCTTATTATCTCTAAAAGTGGTATTTTTGTTATTCCTATGAATATCTATCTGCATCCACATGACACTTGGTCATAATGCTTGGTGTTTTGGTATTTGTTTATGCGTTTTGTGTTTGTGAGCATATTGCAAAGCGTGAAAATATAGTTTCAATTTGGTATCGTCTTCCTGTTCTTCTCATTGCATCGCTATACCCTCAACATATAATAATAATAATAATAAATCGTCTTTATCATGGAGCGATGTTTAGCATAATGCTACTCTGACACTTGACAAAAAAAAAACTGAAACAGAGTATAAAAACATAAGAGCATTTGATTAGTTACAAGTAAGCCAAAAATATAATTAAGTGGAAGATATTCAATATTTCAGGAGTTAAAAGTATACAGGGTTTAAACGTTATGGTAGTCATTATTGAACTGGGTAATATGGGGGGTCAAAACAAGTCAAAAAGTTCATATGACCCATGGTCTAAAGGTCAATAGATTTTTGTCTAAATGGCTTTATAGTTTACAATCTTAAGTGCTTTATATCGACCACAATCACCACAATCTTACTAATTTTTATAATCCAATCTAAAACGTCTTTAAATTGGGTAATTAACAAATAAATGGCATTGAGTTTTTCTAAGTTAATCCAAAATTTGTAGTCAGTAAGTAAGTAAGTTTCATTAAATTAAATATTTAAAACACACATGGCAACAGCGCGCCGGTTTCTCATCACCCTTATCGAACCGGCAATCGATCGCAAACGGTAACAGTGGTTAGTATGTTGTTTTGTTTTTGTTCGCGTACGCCGTCGTGTTTATTTACAATGTTCTCGAATCAAGAGTTCGCTGACATATTGTTAGTTTACGGTGAAGCTCGTCAGAATTCAAATCTTGCAGCTCAAATTTATCGCAACAGATTTCGCCAACGGGTACACCCAGACAGAAGCACATTTCGAGATACAGGAAGTGTTCAGCCCACTAATATTCGCACTCGTGAAAGTACTGTAGAGCAGGAGGGACAAATTTTAAATATCATGGAAGTCAATGCAGAGCACTATCGCATACCATAGTCCATAGAATTTTGCTTTATCCCTACCATGTACAACGAGTGCAGGCCTTGTTACTAGAAGACTATCCTCGCAGACTAAGATTCTGTAAGTGGTTTTTGCACAAAAACATTGAAAATCCGGATTTCTCTAAAAACATTCTAGCGACAGACGAATGTAGTACCTTTACGCGAGACGGCATATTAAATTTCTATAATACTCACACGTGGACCCAAGAAAATCCTCATACCATTCGTGAAGGTCATTTTCAACAACGTTTTAAATAAATATTTGGGCGGGTATTTTTGACAATCAGGTAATTGTCCCTTTCGAGTTACCCCCAAAGTTGTTAGGAGAAGGATACCTTAGCTTTCTAGCCAATAACTTGCTAGAACTTTTGGAACAGACCTTAGACAACATGCCATTACAACGGAGACAGAATTTGTGGTTTCTTTATGATGGGGCTCCACCACACATTTTTAGAGGCGTCATGCAGTATTTGAATGAACATTATCCAAATCGCTGGATCGGTCGAAATGCTCCCGATCCTCGAAAATGGCCAGCAAGATCTCCTGACCTCAATCCGATGGATTTTTGGTATTGATGAGAACTTAAAGAGATGGTTTATGGGTCTGGTCCAATAACTACTGAAGAACAACTTCGCGAAAAAAGAAATTATGCGGCTGAAATAATAAATGGACAACTTCGAGGATCTAGAGTAAGAAGAAACTGGTTTCGTCGTAATGAAGCTTGTGTGGAAAGTGGAGTACGACATTTTGAACACCTTCTTTAGATACAAAAAAAGTGCAGTGTGGATTTGAAAAAGAAAAAGAATGTATGTATCAGAACTGTATTCCTTATGTATAAGAGGCTTTTGTGATGCATTCAATAAACTTTCACACATCAGGTGAGGCGCTGAGACAGTTAATGGTAAGTCCGTTTTTTTTTATTGTTTGCATTTTACGAGTACATTATTAATTAATGAAATAATACCTAAGAGCCAAAAATAACAAGCTCCATCTTTATTTACACTGCGTTCCGTCGTAGATTGCGTCTGGCATTGCGGCGTTGTCAGATTTAATTTACTTTAAAGTCGCTTTTCTCTAAAAGAAAAGCCGTTTTGACCCTCATGTTATAGGAAACTTTTTGCTTCTTTTAACCCCTCTATCACCCATTTCAAAAATGACTATCATAACGCTTACACCCTGTATATTTACCTTTGCTATACTTTTCTTGCAATCAGTTGAATTTTATCAGACAGTAGAGAGTAGATTTTTTTCTATCAGTCTTTCTCTCTCTAGATTTTTTTTTGTTTACAGCAACCTCGTGACGTGCCCTATACTGGCTTAATTTTTTGTTCTTTTTGACTTGGGATACATCTCGGCTGCGCCTAGCCGTAACTGGGAGAAGACCTCTGCCCAGATAAGTGTAGTTTAGGCATAAAACATATATGTAACGCGTATACCATGTATACCAATTTTATTGTGTGACAGTTTTTCTTTATTTTTGGTTATACCCTTTCGGGCACTCCAGTAGCGGAGCATTAATGTGTGCTGTTTTCTGAGGCACATTGCGATATTTTTAATATCGTGCTTTATTTGGCTCTCCATATACTATTAATTAGGTTACGTCATTGCTGTTAGATTATTTTCTTTTGTCTGGGTGGTCAAGCAAAACAAGTTCCCATAATCACCTCGGGGATTTGTGGATTAATCCGTCATAAGTCATTGGCGCCCTTACCCCCCTACTCTCCGCTTTATTGAGCTAGGGCCTAAATTTGTACGCCACTAGACAGCTGTTTTGCATTAGGCGACCCTTAGACTTCATTTATTGTGCTTTATTTATTAGTTCGTTAATTCATTTCAAAAGAAAATGAAAGTGGAATCACACCATCTTTACCTTTTATTTATAAAAAAAGGCGAGGCAGCATGCAGAAATCTACAAAATTAATAGGAGTGACCTAAGTACAGGCCCTTGGAGCACTTCGGATGAAATTAGTTACTTAGGAGGCGTCACCATGTCAATGTGTTGTACTATTTGATACCGATTTCCTAAGAAGCTCTGAATCATATTGGAGGAAGAATAGAAAACACCGAAATACTTGGCTAGATAAGAAGAACGAATGATGTGATCAGATGTTGGTCCCAGGCTCCAACAATGTTATTGGTTAAATCTAGCGAGGATCATGTCAGATAACATCCAAAAAACATAACATCTTACCTTCTAAACTTTTCGCACTTACTCGTACAATACTTACTCGGCAGTAGGCGTGGGAAGTGAAATGAAATTCTCTATACTAACAGAGCCAGCCGTCACACCGTGCTTTCCTCGAATCCAGATAAACGATGCTCTGTCATGTCCGCAGTGGGAAAAGTCAGTGTAAGCCTCGAATAATGGACTCGTCACGACATCAGACATGTTTTCAACGCTTCGCTTGCAGGCAACCAGGCCGGGTAATATGCAAATTGCATAACTGCAATTAAAAATTAATTAAGAGCTCGAACTGGCGCCTACCGTTAGCTGATGTTGTTATTGCTAGTTCAGAAAAGCCGTCTCATGTTACTTCCTTCTCCACTGGCGAGGAAGTATTGTAATCACGGAAAATATCAAAAACGAGATTTTATGTTTACGTTATATCACATGTACACCTCAAAAAACATGTCGTTCATTGCCATCGGACAGGTCTGTCTATCGCTCCGCCCGCTAATCCCTGGCCTGTCTATCACTTGGGAAGTACTTCTCGGACTTGAGAATGAGAAGGACGCTTTGTAGCTTTTGACTGTATTTGTTCAAAAATAAGTATGGTATAACTCAAAAACGCATGAACGCACAAAGTATATCTGAATAGTATGTAGCACCCGAAAATGGAATTTAAAACTGAACACTGTGCAGGGTGGTCCATCCATGTGTGGACGGAATTTTACTCATAAACAAATACATTTTGGGAAAATCTATTTATGGCATGTTATACATGACGTTTGAGAGCAAATTTCTAAGATATTTTGACAATTATACAGGGTGTCCCAATTTTGACCTACATAACAAAGTTTTGATTTTTTAAATGGAATGCCTCAAATTTTATTGCATATATAAACCAAGTCAAAAGAAGAAGATTGATATAATATACTTCGGCAACCGCTCAATCCGCCATTTTAAAATATGGAGCGCTGAATTTTGTACCAAAAAAGCTTACACATCTCAGCTTTTATCTTATCTGTTACTTTTTCGAATTTTCATTTTTGCTCATACAGGGTGGTCAAAAACACCAATTGAACTTTTTCACAAAAATTTCAAATGCATCACCATGTATATTTGGTACAAGGTTTGATTCAGATAAAATCACTAGATTTTGAGTTATTATATAAAAGACTAACAGTGGGCTAGTTCCATATTGCCACTAAAGGTACAGATTTGACGTAAAAACTAATAACAATCAGAACAGTATGAATCAGCTTCAAGCGTAATGGAGAAAAACAACTATTACAACAACATAAACAAACAACAATCACTACTCAAGGCCTAATCTACAAAAACTGCTCGAAAATATCTCCATCATGTTGAATTCACAGCCGTAGTCTTTGCATAAATGACAATTACATATCCCTCAGCATGTGAAAGGCCCGATAACTTGTGGGCCAATAACTCCTCTCCAAACATTCAAGCTCCGTTTATTTTGGAAATCTATTTGCATAACCCGTTAAGGGTTTTCCATCGCATAATAGGGCATGTTATGCTGTTAAAAGTTGCCTCATCGCTAAAAAGAACCTTATCCAAGAAAGTAGTGTCTTCACTCACTTTATTTATCATTATTCTGGTAAAGTCCATTCGAGCTGCGAAATCCTGAGGAAGAAGGCCTTGATGCAAGCATAGATGATATGGATGGTACCTACTATATGCTTCTGAATAATCCTTTGGACAGAAGTTCTGCATATATCAGTTTCTGCTCCAATTTGTCGTGCACTTAAACGGGGATTTACCTGCAACTTTAATAGAACCTTCAACTGATTTACCTCATTGGTGGCACTTGGATTATTTATACATTTTTCACTATATTCCACTGCTCCACTTGACTCAAAACGTAGTATGGAAAATGTTTCCGGCCTGGGATATCGCATACTCAGGTACCGTTGCTTATAAATGCGAGATGCTAGGAAACTATTTCTTTGGGCTTCGCCCAAAACGAACACCATATTCACCATTTCTTCTTCAGAAAAATTCATTTTGATACACGTTTTTATTATACTGCTCACAAAATAATTTTGACAGTTTGTAACTAATCAACAATTTATTTGTTTCCAAAGATGATGGGATTCTTTAACGAATTAAGCCGTTCCATAACCGACGTGCTAATAACCGAAAAAATAGCCGTAGAAACCCTTATGTGTCTAATATCAAAAAAGGCTTATAATAATTGAATCCAAACTTATACAGATATACAGGGTGATGCATTTGAAATGTTTGAGAAAAACTATAATTTGCATTTTTGTAGTAACAAATAAGATAAAAGCTGAGGTGTGTAAGTTTATTTTTGATATAAAATTCAGTACTCCAAATTTCAAAATGGCTGACTGAGGGGTTTCTGAAGTGGGGGGTTTTTCTAGACAAAACACCTTATATCTCAGTAGCTAATTATCAAAACCCCATAGTACGCTATATCAATTTTCTTGTTTTGAATTGGTATATCCAAATATGCGATTTGAAAAATCACAACGTAGATATGTAGGTCGGAATTTGAACACCCTGTATAATGGCCAATATATACTAAGTGACATATAAATCCGAACACCCAGTGGTTTTATTTTAATAAAATTTTGTATAAGTGCTGAATGAAGCATAATGACTAAATGATAAAAATTTCAAAATAATTGCACTGCTTTAAAGCCCTTTGACCTTTAATAATGTGTGGATGCACCCTGATGTGCTACGCATTCTCCAACTCGCCTAGGCATGCTTCTGATCAGGTGGTCAATGTCCTCCTGTGGTATCTCATTCCAGGCAACCACTAACTCCTCTCGAAGTGCTTCTAGAGTCTGAGGAGGACGTTGCAAATTGAGCAATCTCCTACCCATCATATCCCACACGTGCTCAATTGGGGATAAGTCGGGAGATCTTGGTGGCCATGGTAACAATGTGACATCATTATGTTGAAAGAAGTCTATTGTGACTCTTGCAACATGTGGTCGGGCATTATCTTGTTGGAAAGTTGGATCTGCCAGGGTGTCAAGATAGGGTAAAAGATGGGGTTCTAGAACTTCGTGGATATAACGCTGCGCGTTCATGTTACCTCTGATGAAGATTAAAGGTGACCTGGAACCATAAGGTATAGCACCCCAAACCATAACTCCAACAGTGTGATGAACATGTCTTTCAACAAAAAACTGTGGATTCCTCCTTTCACCACGTCGCCTTCTAACCCTGGCACGACAATCGTGCATGTCTAAATAAAATCGAGACTCATCACTAAAGACAATACTGTTCCATTCCTGATCCCAGAGTGACCGTTGTCTGCACCACTCAAGGCGATTACGTCGGTGTTCTCAAGTTAAAGGGAGGACCCAGTGTGGCCGGTATGAAAACAAGCCAAAACTGCTCATTCGTCGGTAAACACTTCGCATGCCAATAGGTCTTCCGCGTTCTGCAAACCATTCATTTGCAATGGACCTGGTAGTGGAGAAACGGTCCCTTAAGGCCAATAATCTTAGGCGGCGATCTTCACGGTCTGTTGTTCTACGGCGGCGTCCAGTGCCCCTTGCTCTTTGCGTACGGCGATCTCGAAGCCATGCCTGACAACACCTAACCACAGTGTCTACACTTCTTTGCACTCTAACTGCAATTGCCCGAAAAGAAAGTCCAGCTTCCCGAAGTCCCACTATACGGCCCCTATCAAACTCACTAAGTTGACGAAATCGTACAGGTCTCCGTACTCTAGGCATCGTAACCGATCTTGAAGGATGTCAAGAACCAAAATCCGCCAACGTTGATTCTTTACTGCGGCTGAAATATTCATTTTTAGAGCGTTAGTGAATTAAAAAAAAAAGCAGTATAAAAACCGGAATGTCCAACTGATAAGGCTGAAAATTTTTTCACTTTTACAGTAAGATAAATACATTCACCAACTTTTATTAAAATAAAACCATTTGAACTGGGTGTTCGGATTTATATGCCACTTAGTATATTAGAAATGTGCCCTCAAGTGTCATGTATAACATCCCGTAAATAGATTTTCACAAAATGTATTGGTTTATGAGTGATATTCCGTCCAGACGTGGATGGGCCACCCTGTATATACAAAAATACAATAACATACAAGTTTGTTTGAAACCGACGTATTTGACATTTTTTTGTTTATGCACTGGCTTGCGAGGTAACGGGATGCGTCCAATTACGTTCACCGCCGTGTAATATGAATTCAGCTGACCCGCGGCTTCGTTCTCGTACTCCTGAAACTATTACTAGCATAAATCGTTGTTTTTAAGTAATGTGATAAACTTTGAATCAAGTTTTTTATCCTTGATGAGATTAGTAAATTGACAGCCGTCTTGCGTGCTAGGAAAATCTCGTTACTTTATTAGTGGCGGTGGCTAGACGATCCGCGGGTAAAACCACGAGGCAGAAGCTGGTATCGTGTACAGCATTATAACTTGCTTAAATATTTTTGCTCCCAAATCATTACAATTCTGTCTCTGCACGTTCTACATCCTTCTGCTAATAGTCCCAGAACTGTTCAGCACGTAACACTACTTTCCATTAGGCAAATGGGAGCAAATTCACGTATTCCTAAAAC